TTAAATTTCTTGAAAGGGTGTAATAGTTTTACTGTGATTATGTAGGATAATGTGTCTTGTTCTTTGGTGTTACATACTTGAAATATTTGGAGTGTTCACGACGTCTGAGATTTTCTAATAGATCAGCGCCCCCCACCCCCCTGCAAAAAAAAGCCCTAATATAAATAGATTAAATCTGGCAAAATGTTAATAATTGATGGATTTTGGTGAAGCATATATAAGTATATGGTGCATTGGTCTTCCACTTTTCTGTAGGCTTGAAATATTTCAATAAAAATTGGGAGAAGTAAGATGTCAGTGTATAAAGGCAACAGAGTTATTTAATATCAGCTTTGTATAGATTCCTAACATCAGTAGTTTCACATTTTAGCAGCACTTTGAAAAGCATTGCCAACATGATGGAATGATCCATATCTTTATTATGCTACATTAGAGATACTGTTGTACTTATGTTTACTTCTGTATTATAGTGATCGAACTGCTATCAAAAGTACTTAGGATTTTGGTCGGTCTAGTCATATTCATTCTCCTTCCCACTCCTCTGCTTCCAAGACCACAAAATGCTATTACATAATTGCTTCATAGTATTGTTTGCTTGTCTCTCCTGATGTAAATTATGTTTAAAAATGTTTATTTAACTTTTCTTATACACCAGTCACAGTTTTAGGTGATGAAATTAAGAGTATATGAAATGGTTCCTGTACTCAAAGGAGTTCATCCTTTAATAATAATAATAATAATAAATTTGGGCATTTAGGCCAACTAGAACACAAGTGGTGTTAGGTGCTATAACAATAATCATAATAATCCTCATTTTATAGATAAGGAAACTAAGATACAGAAAGATTACGTAACTCGTCCCAAATGAAACAGATAAGAAGGGGCAGAACTCAGGCCACCTGAGTCCTTAGTCCATGCCATGAAATGCTGAAGAAATAGTTTATTTTGCCTGGAGGATGGAGGAATTTGGAAAAGGTTTTGGACATTTGACTGGGTCTTGAGAGGATGCATAGGGTTTTGCCAGATGATGGTGAGGAAGAGCATCACAGGCAGATGAAAAGCAAACACCGGTCAGAGAGGCATGAAAATACATTGTGTGTTGGGAATGACAAATAGTTCAAGGTGGCCAGATCATAAAAGTAGCAGGGGGGAAAAAAAAAAGTAGCAGGAAGTGAAACTAGAAGGTGAGTTTGGGCCATATTGTGAAGGGCCAACCGTGTAGAGATTTGAACTTTATTTGTAGCTACTGAAAGATTTTAAGCTGGGACTCACTTTTTAAAGGTCATAGCAGCGTGGAGGCTGGCTTGAAGCTATCCAGGGCTACCTGTGAGGAGTTACTGCCCTCATCTAGGGATGAGGATTGACAGAAAAAGGGCAGAGGGTGTGATGGAAGCGGAAGTGGATGGGACCAGCAGAGTGTAGGTTGGGTGTGGAAAGAAGATACAAGGAAGACTGAAGACAACCTAAGCTTCTAGGTTGATTGACTTAGTGGGTGGTGATGCTCTTAATTCGTAGTAGGAAAGGGAGGGGTAATTAGCAGCATGTTTAGGGAAATCGTTTTGGGTGTGCTGAGTTTGAAGTATCTGCTGAACTTCTGGGTGAGATTCTAACTTGCTGTTATATTCTAGTCTGTTTTGGTGTTACTGAGTCCATGGCAAGATGATGTTCCTTAGCCTATTTTTCTAGAGCATTTAAGTTTACATTTGTCACATGTGTTTTCAGTTACTCCTTACCTCAGAATAAATTCTGGAGTTGTTAAGCTATAGCATGTTTGCTGATAAAGTATATTGTATCCATTTATTATAGATTCATGAGTGCATGCAAGTCTGGTGTAGTTGATCGGGCAGAGTTATGGAGTTAACACTTAAACCTGATTGAACTACTGATGTATAATTTAAAAATCCTACAGCCTGGGAGCTTTACCGAAGTGTATTTTTTTCCTTTTTTTTTTTTTTTTTTTGCTGTAGGGGAAAGAAATGTATACTTAACGGTTCTGAAAATTGTGTACGTCTTTTTTATCCTTGCATATGAGAATGTGTAGCATTTAAAATAATCTCTCTCTATATATGATGAGCATTAGAATACAAAAATGTGCCTTTAAAGAAAAGAATAGCTATTTCTTAAAGTGATTTATTGACAATTTAATAGTCATAAGAATGAAAGATAGCAAAAGACCTGCTAGATCTCAGCAGGGTTTTTCCTGGCAAAGTGTATGTTATTGTACTCTTGGATGGGCTTGAATTATTTGGTGTTTTCCTGTTGGTGGAGAAAGGGATTGTGCTTTGAAGAAGTCGGGGGGGGGGGGGGAAGTGCAGAAGAACAAGAAAGTACCAAATGGCATCTTAGATCAATCTTAATTTTTCACAGCTTGGCTTTCTGTAAAGTAACATTTAGCAGAAACATTAATTAGATTTCAGAGCCCCACTGAGTTTTAAAATTAAACATATTTCTGGAACCATCTGTAAGATTTTATTACTAATAATATAATGAAGAATATGCTTAATCTTTTGAAAAATGAGAATCATAACGGTATCTTTTGCTCACAAGTGATCATCTTTGGTTATGAAAAAACCATCAAAATTTTTAAGAGTAAAGAAGTAATTAAAGAGTTTTAAGGATATGCCTAAAAATAAAATTTCATAAAATTATTCTGATTGGTGAGAATCTTTTCCTAAATTCAGGACTTTCTTTGGGATTTTATGCTTCTTTTGAATCTAAAAATATCGATGGTGGGCCCATGCCATCTGCCTGTTTGAGGCTGGATTGAAGACCGTCGATGAGGAACTATTGCTTCCATCCAGGAACTGTGATCCCCGACGAGAGCAGGGACATGATGGAGGCAAGAGCGTAGGATATGGCGGCCTAGAGCGCAGGTCCTGGGGCCACGCTGCCTGGCCTTGAACTCACCAGTTGCGGGAACTTGGAGAAGTTGATTAGACCCTTTGTGCCTCTGTTTCCTTATTTGTAAAATGGGGGTGATTGGGCTTCCCTGGTGGCGCAGTGGTTGAGAGTCCGCCTGCTGTTGCAGGG